CTGATGCTTAGTGAAAATTTTATTAGACCATCAAGTCAGTCGTTGTCAAAGTATGGTTTGCATAAGGATGAACTGAGAACATGTCAGAGACACAAATTCCTAAACTCCTCCTCAGACCTACTTAAAGTTTGGAAATGGGGCTCAACCACCTGGTTTTCAATAAATCTTCTAGGTGATGTTATTGCTAGCTGGAATTGGAGACCCACTGACATTGGTGTAAATAACATATTGCCATCATACACGTAAGCAACCTGCTTCATGTGCAAGGACAATAAGGAGACAAGAGTGACAATGTTGAAGAAATTAAAGATTGAATGTGTTACAATGCTTATCTTTTTATACATAAAGTGAAGCTATTAGCTATCTCTGCAACCCATTGTGATTCTGGACACAAGCATGCAATATATTCACTAATGTCCATTGTTTTATTATAATATCTTGAAATAGATATTTGTTTTTTAAGTAATCTTAGGAAACCTCAGAAATATTCCCATTTCCAGTAAAGGGATAGTTTAAGAAATCAGATAGTTTAAGTAACAAAAGATGAATGACTTTTTCTTCTTTGCAATTTCCTATGACTACGTGAGTCAAAGGCAAAGATCAGATTTGGTGGAATGTGGCCTAGGACCAACATTTGACTACATTGGGTTTCTTCCTTTTTCTGGCTGGCACATGTTACAACGCCTTAATGATGGGAAGATATTTTTCTTGTTCAGTATTTGTAATCATCAGATTAGGAACAGCACTGACACCTCGCTGATACAGAATTCAATTCAAATTCTCAAAGTGAAATGAGAATATTTCCCTGGAACAAGATGCAGTCAATGGGAATTGACAGAAACCTCAAAATTTTCCCTTTTTTTTTTCATTCTCCTATAATTGACTAGTGTAAAGGACAATGATTTACATGGGATAATTGTGTCGTATTGAGTAAAGTTAAGTAGAACACATCAAAGCATGTCATAAAATATGAAGGAAACTAGAATTAACTGAGAAATATCTTTACAAGTCATGCCTTGGTATCTAAAGACTCTAATAGTAATCTTTCAAATGTTCAGTCTTTATATACTTTGAATTAAAATGCAATTATCTCCTAGGATTGCCTGCCCAGTATCAGCTTATAACAATAAGCTCATGCTACAGGCCAAAGAAAGTGTTATGAGAATGTGTATAGTTGAGTGAACAAAAAAGAAAGAGGACTACTAAGGCAAAAATGTAGGACACTTAGAAACATGCTCTCTATTTTGTAATCGTGAGGAAAGTTTTGATTTTGTAATTCATTAAAATTTTTTTTTCATTTAATGTAGGGGAGAATGCATTCGATCAAAACTGGAAAAGTGGTTTATAAAATATAGTTCCTATAAAAATCTTACCTTGTTTTTCAGAGAAAAAAAACACCCCAAAACATTCTGAAGGTCATCATTTTCTCCCAGTATGATTATTTTTTATTTCACTAAAATCAGTTAATTTAGAAGGGAGAGAAACTGTGCAGGAATGGGTTGGTTGCAGCCTCATCAGACAATCAGACAGGAGATCAACACAGCTGTTGGAATCACACCAGCTGGGAAGATTCTCATCATAGGCCTGTCAGGCGCAGGAAAAGAAAGCATGGCTGTCATGTGGGGAAAACACTAGCAAGGTTTATTAATTTATTTCTACAACAGATATATAAAATTACTGCCAGGCTCTTAATAATTATAAATCAGCTTAATATTAATATGAATGGGACTTTGGTTGTTCTTAATCTTTCCTTCAAATGTAAATAACTACTTTCTTTGAAGATGGGACACATAAAATCTATTCTTATTACTCTGAAGCAACAGATACCACATTGCATGTTAAGATTTTGTGTATAATATATTTATTTGCATACAGAAATATGTATTTCTATTGTACACTTTATTACTTTATTTATAGAATATATATATGTATATATATATGAAGCATACAGCGTATTCCTGGAAGGTAGATTAAATATGCACACGGTTCATGCTACAGCGTGCACTCTTTCAAGAGAAGCATATCAAAGAGAAATGGCATTGTACATCATGCTGAAGATACACTTTGCACAAGGTCATCCAGCTGTGGGTGCTTTCCTAATCTATTTGCAACACCAGTGCTGTGGTTGTTGAAAGGGATATTATCAAATTGGGGAGGGGAGGCAACTATCAATGAACTAAAAACAAAAACAAAAAAAGCAGGTTGCATTGTAAAGTCACCTTTGCCATTATGTTGAACTCCTACCTCACTACCATCATTTCTTCAGGATTAAACAGCAAGCAGTGAGTAGACAAAGAGCAGGTACAGGTGGGATCACCCGCTTCCACACAGCAAACCATGCAGCTGATCCCTTGTGACTCATTACATTGGCGACTTTTCCTAACACTTGGGATCTGGCATTAGATTAATGATGAACTGGTAAGTGGACAATCACTTCTTTTTTATTATTATGATTTCCAAGAAATGAACTGGCTCTTTTCTTATTCTTAATCTCCTCTTCTTATAAGACCACTCTTGGATATTTACATTATTGCTATGAGGAGAGAAGAAATAAAGATTTGAGAGATATTGACATTTCCAGTGAAAGCAAAAGAGATGAAATATATCATTTCTTGAAATGGCTCTTTATTATTTAGAAAGGAAAAATGGCAGCTGCAATTGAAACTGACCATAGCAACTGCAATCATGTTGATAGCCAACTGCTGCAGCCTCTTGATTAGACTACGGCTATCATGATCAGACATTAAGATGCTGGAATTACTGTGCTATGTGACTTTGAATATAGAGATGTGGTCTGTGTTCTTAATGTGTGAATTAAAAATCCACCAGGGTCAATGGAGGAATGGTTTTATTACAGGATTGGTGAGTATTACTTTTTTCTAACAGGTGAGTAATTTTCACTGATCTTTGAAAAATGATGAAGGGTTATTTTCTCACTTACAGGAGGTAAGCTCTAGAAATCCCTTCATATAAACAAGACTTTCTCAGCCTTGGCATTAATGACCAAATATTTTTTTTGTTATGCAAGGGTAAGGAGCATTGTAGTCCATGTATCCATGCATCCATGACCATACTCACTAGATACAAATATTTTCTTCCAAGCTGTGACTACCAAAAATGTCTCTATGTAGTGTTAAATGTCCCTTGGGGGGAAAAAATGCTCCTGGCTGAGAGTCACAGAAATAAGCAAATGCAGCAATAGTCAATATGGTCTCTATATCTCTCCAATCTTTAGTGCTACATTTTTCTGATTTTGATTGAGATGTTTTCATGGTATGTCAGTTGAGCTTCAGTTCTTTTCTTGAACTTGGCAGTTTCTCTTTAAATACTGTGGTAGCTGTGGCAAATATCAGGGAGAGCATGAAGGAAGGAAAGGATAGAATGGCAATGGAGAGCAAGTCACAATTTGACTCATGGTAAGATGGGTGTTAGAGCTGAATCCTGAATCCTGGCCTCCAACGGTTCATCCCAACTGAAGTCAAACCTGTATCATAATAATGCAACACATTTAAAAGTGAAGTAGTCACACAATGGAGCCTTTTCTTTATAGGAAACCACGAAGCCCATTGGCTTGCTGTTCTTTCCATTGAATTATTTAGTTGATTTGAAGAAACAAGGTTAAAAACAAATCTGGATTTAAAATGGAGACGTGTTCAGTTTAGTAATCAGAGAATAAAGGAATCTATATGAGCTGATGTTACAGTTTACACCTAGAAGATTTTGAAGGGATAGTAATTCAAGTTATTCAAATAAGAAGTTATTTTATGCAGGATAAGTTAAGTACATATATTGTCCCTAACTGGCTTTTTACTAATTTACAACTATTTTGTTGTTGTTTCCCTTGTGCTTATTTTTTTAAACTTCAAATTGTTGAGATGCTGTTTATAAGGAAAGTCATACAAAATAACTCTAATAATGTCCTAGATTTTAATATTGACAAATTCACCATGTAACTCATATCAATGTTACTGAGTAAAGTATCATAAAGTCCATATGTTTAAATACAGAATACGATTTTTGAAATGGCATTTATAAGCTTAATATCTATTGGTTGGGCCACCTTTACAAAATCTGATCAGAAGACAATAAAAATAATGTAAGAATAATGTAAGAAAAAATATGAGACATGGAAATAACTAGCTAAATGTGAATCAATATAATCCTATATTTATTTGGATTACCAAATTTAAAAGTCCCTACATAGATAAGATTCTGTATAATGCCACATCTAAGTAGTCTTTCTGACATGACTTTTTATGGTGGAGTTAGATGGTGAAACATGACATAGAAATAGCCACCTACATTCTTCTGTCAGATTCTGTGAGCATAGTTGCCCTTTGTTTGGTTATCTACTACATTTCTGTCACAAAGATTACTACATTCTAGTGATCAGAGAATTATGAAGTTAAATGATCTTAGCGAGAATTGACAATATAAGGAACATGGGATTTGTAGTTTCAGTAAATGTTTTTGAATTACCTTTTTTTTTCTTTTGCTACATCATTGGATGGTTATAAGCAACCTCATTTGAGTATAATTTGCATGTCATCTATAAGCAGGTATTGAATTGATGGTCTTGTTCTGTTGGGACTGACCCAGTAAACTAATTTTGTTTAGGATCCAAATGAATAAAGCAGCATCCTCTTCCTGTTGACAAAAGTCAGGAGTTCATGTCCAAGGTAAGATTTCATACATGGATCATGGACATACAAGTTCAAACTGAATGCCTTCCAGCCTTTTATTTTGTCATCTTGAAATTTATCTGGCATCCATAAATTTCTCCAACTAGATTGCCATTTTTTAATTTGATGCAATGTTAATTTTAGAATGACTTTGGTTTCTCAAGAGCACTTATGTTTTAGATAGACTATTCTGTTAGAATAAAAGGCTAATGTAAAAGAAAACAAGATTGGTTAACAAATTCCCCACAAAGGCTCATAAGAAAACCACATCTTCATAGATTTTTATCCCCCAATGAATGTAAAGGACACAGTGTTGAAGGTGAAATGCCTATTTTCATGGCTGTCTCTGGCTGGATTTAGTGAAAGTCCTATAGGTATCACCCATTTACAATATAAAACAGGGAAGTACAAAAACGAATGCCTTAACTAGAAAAATAATAGTAGTGTAACCTAGTTGGTTTTTTTTTTGTTGATTACTTGGTTATCATGATAAGAAAAGGGAAAGGCAAAAAATAAGCATTGATTACATTACAATCCTCTGAATAAGATCATACCAAGAATAGAACCCAATTTAATGCTCTGGAGACATTTTCTATATCCTTTTTGATTTTTTTCCTTCATTTTCCCATTGTATAGTGTTTATTCCATTATGTTTAAGTCTCCATGTTAGCTTGTAGCTATGGCATTTCATCCTCATACAGACACATGAGAAAATAAAAAGAAACAATAAAGGAACAAGTTATTCTTCTTGTGCAGAAACTGATAAAATTGTAGATTCAGAAGCCCTTCTTCAACAGTTTAAGACAGCATTGATTGTTCCTTAAATTCACAATTCAGACAGGTCTATGTCATTGTCTCATTGCTTCTAAGCTGACAGCATTTATAAGGTGCAAGTTTGTTCAAACTGGAGCATGGACATACTAAGATGTCATGGTTGAGCTCCTTAATTGCACATTCCATAGTAAAACTGTAAAGTGCAGTGGCAGAGATTTTAAAACTAGTAGCTCTTTTATCCTTTTTATTCTTCCCAAGCTCCACTGGACCACCTCCCTTCTTTTCAAAGATGCTTTACCTTGTAGCACCTATGTTCTTGTAATGACACATGAGAAGGTGTTTAAAGGTCTTCTTGAAGGTGGCATTACATAGTGCATAGCAGGCAGGGTTGATGGTGCTGTTGATGTAGCAGAGCCAGTAACCAATTGTCCACACTGTGTTAGGGATGCAGGGTGCACAGAAGGTGTTGATGAGCACCATGACATTGTATGGGGCCCAGGTGATGATGAAAGCCAACAGAATAGCCAGGATTGTCCTGGTTACTTTTTTTTCCCGAGAAGGAGGAGGCTTCTTTTTTGCAGGCTGCTTGGTCATCTTCACAATCTTGCGGGCTACAATGTTCTGTTTTTCATCTCCATTCTGACCTGATGACCCTACTAGCTCCACGGTGGTATTTGTTGGGGTGCATGAGTCACCTTTTGGGGTCTTGGTGACAATTTTGATGCATGTCTGCTTAGAGTTCTCATCTTTTGAATGACCCAGGGAAGTAGAAACTGTGTTTTCATCCTGGGTGATTTCATCATCTCTCATATTGGAGGCAACAGCACTGACTGAGGTGGAATCATTGGAGCTCTCTTTCTCTTCACCCTGGACACAGTTTTCTGTCACAGCATCCCTTGGAGTCTTGCCATTCTGGATTTTGTTGTGTTCCAGGCCGCCGTCATTGGTAGGCATATTGTTGTTGTTGGGCTTCACTATTCTTCCTTGCACCAGACTTGGTGACACTGGCTCTTGGTTGGCCACAGGCTCCTTTTTTTCCTTCTTTATCCTGCTCTTGCTGGCTCGGGATATATGCCAGTACAGCACAGTCATGATGATCACAGGCAGATAGAAGGCTGCAATTGCAGTACCAAAGGTGACAGCAGCATTGGAAAAAAATTGAATGTAGCATTCCCCATCCTCCACAGTTCTCACCCCTACTATGAACTGCCAGAAAAGAATGGCTGGAGCCCAGAGAATAAAGGAGAGGACCCAGGCAGCTGCAATCATCATGCCTGCCATTTTCGTGGTCCGCTTAACAGGGTAGGTCAGAGGTTTTGTGACACAGAAGTACCTGTCAAAGCTGATGATGAGCAGATTCATAACAGAGGCATTGCTGACCACATAGTCCAAGGCTAGCCAAAGGTCACATACCACAGGTCCCAAAGGCCAGTAACCTATCACAGTGTAGAGGGTGTACAAGTTCATGGAGAAAACACCAATGATGAGGTCAGCACAGGCCAGGCTGAACAAGAAGTAGTTGTTGACTGTCTGGAGGTGGCGGTTGACTTTAATGGAAACCATGACCAGGATGTTCCCAATAATGGTCACCAAACTGAGGGATCCAGCCACAAGGACAATAAATACCACTTCAAATGTCTTATATGGACTGGTAATAGCCAAGCCATTATTAGAGGAGTTTGTTGAGTTATTCATTTTGTGCCAGTAGTCAAGTAGTCAAATAAACATTTAAACCTGTAGGGAAATAGAATAAAGTTAACAAAATACTACAAACATTGCTGAAAAATAAATCAGGTTTCTTTCTTTTGAATCACTTTTTTTTTTTTATGAAATCGTCCCCCATATTTCCTGTGCCTGTCTGCCCCAGACAAAAGATAAATAATTTAAATGGAGGATGCAAAAGGTCCTTTCAGGCTAGCAACAAATTTGAAATCCAATTATACTGTGAATATCTCCATATATAGATATGAGTATCTATCTATCAGCCAATCTATCAATCTCTTTATCTATACATATATATATAGTAGTATATATTACCAACTAAATAGTGCATAATCCTGAGTTGAATTAAATAAACCAAAATTATATGTAAACTTTCCAAAGTACCCACAAGTTTCTGAAATGGACATAAAAATTAATAAACCAATGAGAGGACAAAATTATGGAAGAAAGCATAAAACTGAGTGACTTTTATAGTCAATAGCACCTTCTTCCTGATAGTTCTAAGCCTTTTCCATAATAACATTGATGAGGATGATAATAAAGACAGTATAATATTTTATTAGCTAACGTACTTCTCTGAAGAGAATTATTTTCTCTGACCTCTCTTTTGCACATATAATAATTTTCACCTAGCACTAGAGCTAAAATTTCCAATAGTCCATATTTTGGAAAACAATCATTGCCTATTAAAGCATATTGATATGAATGTACTAATTTTCCAAATGTTTTAATTTCAAACCACTATAGAAACCATTACTTTCTATTTTTTCCAGACAACCTTTTGGTTTTGCTGAAGAGGGAAGTGTGAAACATAAAATCACATATTCAGTCAGTGATAGTGAAGAGTGTGAACCTTAGTTTGCTCAATCTCTCATTCTTTCACCTTGTCCTCACATCCCATTGAGCAACTTCTCTCAGTTAGACGTTGTGATATGATGTATTCTAAGCATTCAGTGGTAATTAAGACAAAGTCCCTGCCTATGAGAGGAATAAGTTCTGGTGGCAGAGAGAGGTTGGTAAAGAAACAACTATTAAACCTAACTGCATTTTCTGATGCCTAAACTTGCTGTACTTAAGCAAATTTATCATCACCATTTTTCAGATAATCCTGTCAAAGTCTGGTGACAATTGAATTATCTTTCATAAGGGAGAAAGTATGGGGGGAGTTCAGACAGAAAGTTAGGACTTCTTCAAAGGAGAGATGACACCTTTCTGGAGAAATGGTATTTGAGGGAAAAGGAAGGCCAAGTTTCACCTCCTCTTGACAAGTTCCAGCCCAAGTTCTACCTCCTCTTGCTGTGAGTAATGTCAGAAAATAAGAATTACTGAGAAGTCATTTGTTGTCACTTCAAAAATCAGAAATCTCTATTAATTCTGATACAATTACTGACAAAGTAATGCTATGAGATACAGGTTGGGCAGTGGTCTGCCCTTGAAATCTGTGTAGGAAATACTTTGACACACACCTTCATAGCACAAATAACATTTAAACAAATGATTTCTTATGCTTCCGAAAGCAAATTATCTTCAAGCATTTAATAATCAAAACCCTGGATGATAAAGGTTTGACCTTAAAAAATAAGACCCCAAATTCAGAAACTATGAAAAAGAAAAAATGATTACTACATAATCTTTTAAATTTTTGCATAGAAAATAATCAAAACAATTGATAAGAAAAATATTTGCAATGCATGTGAGGGAAAATTACCTATTTTCCTTAATCCGAAAGAATTTGGGACAAAAGGAAAGACAAAAGATTACCAATCTAAAACATTGTTATTTTAGTTATATCAAAGAAAAAATTAATATTGTTGACTTTAAACATATAAAAAGATGCCCAACTTTACAATTTAAAAACGTAAAACCAAACAATTGTTGGTGCTTCTCTACCAATAAGGTCAGGGTAGTACTGCTGAACTGTTTGGATAGGGCTACTGGGGTAACCTTCATGGCAATTTAGTCATTTCTATAAAAGTTTTAAATAAAAATTTAAGTTTGTAGTTATAAAAATTTTAAACTTGTTAAGAAACAGTTTTCTCAGGAATACTACATCTAGGAATTTGTCTTCTGGTGTAGCTATAAAAATATACAAAAAGGTTTCTCAATGATGTTTTTCAGTGATGTTATAACAAAAATACCTAAAAATACTAAAACTATTCAGCAACATAAGATTTGTTAATATGTTATCAATTATTCTTACATTTTAACATTATATAGCTGTTAAAAAGGGCTGTATGTGTGCATGTGTTTCCTGGCTTTGCTGTAGAAAGTTGTGCATTGTACAAGTAGGAAATTATGTGTTCAAAGAAAGACATGAGTTATTATAGAATACAATAAATTGATGCAGTATCATAACTGTTATGAAAATTATGATATGCTATCATAATATGTATGACATATATAGAGATAGGCCTATAAACTATTGGGAGACACTGAACCATTTAGTGAGGAGAATGTTAGTGGAATATAACTCATTATCAGGGAATTGTTTCAATGACATTTCTCTTCTGCAATTCCTTTTTGCCATTATTCATACAATGTTTTTGAACAAAATGATTTAATTATTTCAGCCATTATTCTATAGGATCAGCATTCTGACTTGGTAATAACAGTCACACCTTTGTCTCTTTGTTATAAACATTTATAGACATCTTACATTAATTGCTATATGATTCTCACTTCCTTATTATTTGTCTGTTGTTTCCCCTTTCTCTACTCCTTTTTCTTCTTGTTTACCAGTGGTGTGCATTACTTTATCAATCAATAAATAAAAGTATGGTTTTAAGTCTCTAAAATTAAATTATCTAACAATATGTTAACAACTATAGGCAATAAATGAGACCTAATGAAACTACTCTAAACATGGAGGGAAAGGAGAAAAAGGAGAATGATGGACAGTGAACTTACCTAAATATATTGTAAGCACTTTTGTAAATGTCACAGTGTACCCCCAGTACAACAAAAATGTGATAACAAAAAAGAAAATATTTGTGACTGGATCTATTTTGTCCTTCCTATGAAGAAGAAATCAAAGTTATAAATGAAGTTAAACAACTGCTCATAGATTATGAGACTGGTGAATAAAGAATGTAGAACTAAAACTGACATCTTTACCTTCTGGTGAGATACTCTTTGTCTGTCCTACCTTTGGAAAATTGTACTTTGTCCAATTATGTGTGAATTTGCCAGAAAACAACAAAAGGATGAACCTACATGCAGAGGCTGCTAGTTAAGGTGGATTGTTTTGGGGACCCTGATATCCCTGTCCATGTCAAACACACTAAATTTATTTGATGTTAGTATAAGTAGTTGCTTTTGTGTCCCCTGGATTTTCAGAGTTATACTAATTTTTAAGCTGTCCTAATGCTGTGTATAAAAATGGAATTCCTTCTGCTTAGGAGAAAGCACAGGCATTTGAAGGGTGGTCTTTCTTTCTGGCACAGGCTTTGTGGGGTTGTGCCTCTTCCATGAAAGAAAGCAGCTTCCTTCGGTCAACCTCTTGCCACTTCTGCTGTCCAAATGTCTGCAAACACTTTTATTTCCAGTGTGGCACCATAGGGCACTATTAAAGCAATAACAGTTCCATCACTGGTGAAGCAATGGAGATGACATCACAGGATTCATTTTAACATAGCAAGTGTGTAAGAGCAGTTTATTATTTATTCGACAATCTAGTTTGTGACCAAACCCTGTAAAAACTATGGAAACTCACAAAAGACAGTTTTTCTGTTCTTAGCTTCTTTGCTGCTTGAGTCCATATACATAGCAGAGAAGAATGTGTCATACTTCAACATTTTCTCCACAAAGTTAATCTCCATTCTTAATTATTAATTTGTGATTCTGAGCATGTCACTTAAATTCCATGAATCCAAATTTTCAAGCAGAAATAGCAATCCTTTTCTTTCGGGGTTGTGGCAAGGATCAAATGATATGATATCTCCATTCAATAAATGCTATTAATATCAAAATTTGCCATGTGGATATAAATTAATAGTAACATAACAGTAAATTAATAGTTAATAGAAATTGTATGTGTGTGTTTAAATTATATTAATAGTGGAATGGTATGGGGTTGTGGTTGGATTGATACTAAATTGTTATTATCAATAATATTAAATTATCTATATTTTTACCTATAAAAGGTAAGACACCTAAAAAATTAGCTAGCATTTGTTGCCCTTAACGCAGAGAAACTAAAGCAGATACCTTAAAAGCAACTGAGGCCAATAGGAAAAGGGGACCAGAAACTAGAGAAAAGGTGAGATCAAAAAGAATTAACCTAGAAGGTAACACACATGCACAGGAAATTAATGTGAGTCAACTCCCTGTGTAGCTATCCTTATTTCAACCAGCAAAAACCCTTGTTCCTTCCTATTATTGCTTATACTCTCTCTACAACAAAATTAGAAATAAGGGCAAAATAGTTTCTGCTGGGTATTGAGGGGGTGGGGGGGAGAGGGAGGGGGCGGAGTGGGTGGTAAGGGAGGGGGTGGGGGCAGGGGGGAGAAATGAACCAAGCCTTGTATGCACATACGAATAAAAAAAAAAGCATAAGAAAGTTTCAAATGCAAAAAAAAAAATTAAAAAAATAAATAGTTACTATCAATAATATTAAATTATCTATATTTTTACCTATAAAATCATAATAATGATTATTAGCCTGGTTCAAGCATAACTATACTTCAAAGCCACTCCTGAGGTGCTTACTTTTTTGTTACACATGTTATAGGAATGTTGAACTGAAGATTAAACATTTAAATTAGTTGAGATTCAAATCCAATCCTACACTATTCTACAAATACTTATTTCTTGTCTAAGGAATAGTCTTGCCTAGCTGCAACCACTGACAGCACCAGTGACCTTCCAAGACTAAGCCGAATGCCCTAACATCAAGTTGGGGCTTTTCAATGGGACTGGGGTTTGAACACTGGGCTTTGAGTTTACAAAGCAAGCTCTTTACTGCTTGAGCCATACCTCCAGTCCGTTTTGGTCTGGTTATTTTGGAGATGTGA